GGTTGGACTCCTGGATTGGCTGGTACAATCCAGTTACCTTCACCAGTTTAGTAATTTAGACTATGGCTATTATTTTTCATTAATCAATAACCAAAGAATTGTTGTCTTTTTCATTCAGGTGTTACTCAAAGGAGGGAGGATCAGACCTTAGTGATAAATCATTCACTGCAAAAACAACGGCAAAAGGCAGCAGGTTAAAATACAATAGTACCTTATTAGCTAATAATCACACAGTAGTATTGTATCTTATAACTATGCAAACATTAAACACTTCTGAAAATAAGCACAAGTAAATAAAAGCAAACAAAAAGGGGGATACAGGTTTTAAGAGTCTGTTCAAGAGTCTCTGAGGTATGTTCAAGTTTTTGTTAATGCATTAATACCAAATGATAAATGTGAATAGAATAGAATAGCAGCAGATAAATGGTAACAGAATAGAATAGAATAGAAAATGCCTTTACTGTCAAATAGGGAAATTCTGCTGTTTACAGCAGCAAAAGAATTTTAGAAAAAAATGGTTACACAAGTGTAGACCTTAGAAAAGTGTATAAGAATAATATAATGGTGAAGAGTAAAAAAAATAAATAAAATATTGTGCTGTAAGGTGTTTTAACAATATAAAAAAACTGTGCATCTGGAGAATAAGGAACCAATATACAGCTATGGACATTTTTACAGTAACAGCAGCAACATCAGAGAAGTGCAAATAACAGCAAAATCTTATTTAACACTAAGGTAAAAGCTGTGTAAAATCTCTGACGCAGAGACATAATGCAACCAAACAAGGGTTCACCCAGTTTTACAGTGGAAAAATAATGACCCAGGAATGCATTAAGATATAGTGATGCTGGAATGAATGGGTTATTTCAGCTGCACAGGATATCCAGGTCTGGGGTGGGGCAGCTACAAAAAAAGTGATAAAAGGCTCACATGTCACTAGCTGGTCCGACCGTTGTAGCCTAACTCTTAGAACAAATGGAAAAAGAGGATTTGAGCACACAACAGGGATCACTCAGTCAGGCTCAGTGAAGATTAGCATTCAGTTCAGAGCTCTTAAAAACCATCATCAGTTGAATCAGAAAGNCTCAAATAAACTAACATCGAGCTGGGTTTTTGAAACAAAACAGCTTCTAGCCTAAGGTTCGATCAATTCAGAATTGAGGATTTTATTCTGAGATTTTTAAACCTGCTTTGTGAAACAGACCCCTGTTGTTTTGGTTTTGCTTTTTCTTTCAGATCATGACTACCGGTATATAAAATTGTCAATAGGATTGCAAACAAACTAATATCACAGATCATATTCTTAGAAAAATATGTGTAAAAAAGTAAAGTGGTGTATCAAAAATGCTAACATAGCGAGGCTTTTTTGCTATGCTCTGCTCTTCTGAGCTTTAAAATACTGATAGAGCTCAAGGCTTTGCTTCTGACTGACTAATCAGAAATTTTAGCAGAGTAACACAGCATCAGTGTAGCACTAATTTAATTTAGCTGCATGGACATGATTCCATAGAATCAAGGACAATCAGGTCCTTTGCCATAAAAAAACAAAAAATGAACAAATGATTTTCAATTTGCCAGAAAAACAAATCTATGAGTTAATTAAAATGTCCTGATATTATGAATATGATATTGTGAATCACAAAAAAGCAGATACATTTTAACTTACCAGATAGGTATGTCACATCCTCTGAAAAATAAAAGTAAAATGTTAGAAATTGAAAATTAAGTAATATTTACAATAACAGTCCTGTTTAGACAGTTGAGGTTTTGTAGTTTGAGTTAACTTAAAATCATTAATCAAGGAGCAATAAGCTGTGTCATACTTCACAGGTCTGAAGTGAAATCCAAGGACACACAATTTAAATCTGAACTGCAACTCTTAAGTATTATATCCTGATTATATAGTTAAATATATTGTAACCTC